CACAAGGGGGATAACAAAACCCTGCCCTGCTCCCAGCCCTGAGGATGTTCACCTGGAAAAGGTCCAGTTTATGTGAACTTCTAAACAGTTTGTTCCACGCTGCAGCTTCCTCAGCTGGAGCATTTCGTCACTGCTGGGTTTGTGTGACTCCCAGGGCTGTCAGAGACAGCTCCATGCCTCCTTCCAGAGCCTCTTCCCTTCCAGATATTCCCAGGATGGTGACACGACACTCCAGGATGGACAAAAGCAGGGTCGCACCTGGAGCCTGGAAACTTCTTGGATAAATGTCATAATGGTCCCCATTAGATCCCAATAATGGTTGTGGCATAAATATCTCTGGAAAATTATTCACCTATGAAATTTTTATCCCAGGAACTGGGATATCCCAGGAACCTCCAGTGGAAGGTGCCCCTGCCCATGGCAGGGGTTGGAATGAAAGGATCTTTGAGTTCCTTCCCAACACAAACCATTCTGGGATTCTGTGATTAGCACAGAGAAGATGCAGGTAAAAAAAAAAAAACAAAAACAGAGAGAAGCGTGGATGCTGCCAAAAAATGAAAACCTATTTATTCTGTGGTGATCTACAGAGTGCTGGGGAGGGAAATATTTATAGGTGGGATAGTTCCATCTCCAAACCCTTCACTTGCAGGCTGGTAGGAGAGGAACGGAGCCTGGTGGCTTTTTGTTTGGTTGGTTTTTTGAGGGGTTTTAAATATTTTTTTTTAAGGGGAAAAGTTAACCGAAGTTTATGAGCTTGAGCTGTGGAGCAGAGCCTTTTGTGTCTGGCTTGCCCACATAATTGCACTCCCCCCTCCTCTCACCCGGTGGCAAAGGAATGTAGGTGGAATGTCTTTACACGGAGAGCGGCTCACGCAGGGACTGCACAATGAGGGGAAGAAACAGGAGCCAATCTAAGTAAAGGATCAGGCAAGGAAAATAATATTGGGCTGTCTGCTACCACGTCTAACCCCGTGAAATGCCTCCATGAATCCCCTGCTTCCTTCTGCCTTAAAATGTCCTCCTCCTTCCCAGAGAGGTTCAGGGCACATATCTTGTTTCAGTCTCCTTTTTAACACTTTGCTTTTCCCCCCTCTCCTTTCATCCTGCTGCCGCAGATATATTTACTGGCAACGGAAAAAATCAATAAAGGAGAAGGAAATGACTTGGCAGCGTTCCGAAGTGTTAAAATAATTCTCATCTCATCGAGCCCCATTGTTTTTAAACAATATTGCCGGCTCAGGAGCTCGGCGTCGATTTTCAGAAGCAACTGGTGATTTTTGGGGAGGTTCTGGGTTTTTTTGGGGTGTCTTTAAAAGGACAAGTTTGGCACAGCCACGTGGGAAACACAGAGGCTTTTCCACCACGCTCCTGAATTTATCTGTCCCTTGAGGGATCCCACCCCAGGAGTTTAATTTGGGGGCATATTTAAGTAAAACAGCCCTAAGAAAGGCTGGACATCCCATAAACTATCCCAGCTGCCTTTCAGCAGAGAAAACTGGGAATGATATTAGCAACCAACAGCCTGAACCAGGTGCATTCCAATCTGTCAATCCCTCGCGTGAGTTATTGCTCCTTAAATACAGACTTTCTGTCCCAGCAGTGAAATATTCTGGCACGTGCTGTGCAAGAACATGGAGATCTGACCTTCACACTGAGCTGCTCCTTGTAAGCTGGAATCTCTCCTGGATTTCTGGTTTTTTCCCCCACATTTTTGAGGTGTATTTTGGAAAATCAGAAGGAGGGCTCAAAACGTTGAGATGCTCAAAGATCCTCTCAGTTCCCACACAAAATATTTCCTCCCCAGCTCCAACTAAAATCTGAACTCCATTTCTATTTTGACTTTTTTTAAAAAAAGTATTCTTGCTATGCAAAAATGGAAGTGAAAAGTAATTTCCAAAAGGAAAACTGGAGCATTTAATTTGGAAGAGGATGGGAAGCACACCTCCACTTCAGGAATGCTCCATCTTAAGTTGAAACAGAGTCAATAAATTAGGGCTTTTCCCAAAACAATGTTTTTCACAGGGAGGCAACAGCTTAAATGAAAAGCATCCCTTTATCAATATTTTAGTGACTTAATGTTCACAATATTTTTCAATATTTTCAATATTTCAATATTATTCAATATTTTATCAATATTTTAGTGACTTAATGTTCAGAAATTAAGGGTTTTCAGCTTCCACTTCATTGCAGGAGAACAAGAGCACATTTTGCACACCTGGAAAATATCAGAATTTTCCCTTTTTTCCCCTTTTAGATCCAGAGATTCCCTTTCAGACCTAAAGATCCCTTTTAAGCTTAGAAATCCCCTTTTAGGCCTAGAAATCCCCTTTTGGACTTAGAGATCCTTTTTTAGACCCAGAGATCCCCTTTCAGACCTAGCTGAACCCCTTTTAAACCTAGAATTCCCTTTTTAGACCCAGGGAACCATTTATAGACCCAGAAATCCCCTTTCAGACCTAGCTGAACCCCTTTTAAACCTAGAATTCCCTTTTCAGACCCAGAGATTCCCCTTTCAGATCCAGCTGAACCCTTTTTAAACCTCAAATTCCCCTTTTAGACCCAGGGACCCCTCTTTAAACACTCGCACACCAATCCCATCCCCTCCAAGAGCGTTTTTTATCCGAGAATCATCAGCACCAACAATCAGGAGATTATTCAGATGGGAAAAAAACCTCTGCCAAAGTCCAGGTGTGCCCATGCCCAGAGCCCTGAGCCCGCTCCAGCTGAGAGCAGCCGCTCTCCTCCACCATCCCAGCTTTTATTCCTGCTGGGAACGTCAGGGAGGGAATTCTCTGCCGCTCCCCAAACGTGCATAAACCCCCCAGAAACGTGCACCTCTGTGCCTTGGAGGTCCTGGGGAGAGGCCCCTGCGTGTGTCAGGCTGAGAGGAATGAATTTTTTGGGGTGGGAAACATCTGCCTTTCTCTGGGGTTTGCGCTCATTGTGGGGCCCATTGTGCGCGCACGGGCACAAAAATGGGGGAATCAATAAAGCAGGAAAGCCTCGGTTGTTGGATCAAATGCCAGCCATATCTAATGCCTCCAGGATGCCTCTGGAGCCCACCAGGTCCTGCTTGTTTGATGCCTTCCTTTCCTGGCTATCCCAAAAGGAAAAACCCAAGATATTAACTTTCCTGTACAGAAAAGGCCTGTGGGAACGTGGAGCTGGGGAGGAACTTCAGCTTGGCCAAGCTCAGCGTGTCTGTGGGGTAAAGGAGAGTCCAGTGGGGGCACCAGAGGGGTGGGATCCCACATTCCCACCCCAAAGGCAACACCAGCACCCCATAAGGGGATGAAGTTTCTGTGCTGCATCACAGCAACACCCAGATGGAAGCAAAACCCAAATTCTCCACTGGGGAAACCGCATCCATCAGGACAAAACAGGGATAATTCCCAACTCATTGAAAAGCAGCCTCAGAGCAGGGAAGGGATTGAAAGGATTTTGGGAATCCTGGCATTGTGCCACCAGTGCTGGGCACGGCCACCCAGTGCCCAGGTCAGCCTTTCTCCCATGCAAGCTGGCACCAGGGGAAGGAGCTGCCTTTAAACCAGCACCAGCCTCTGGCAGAGGGGCTCAGAGCACAAAAATGATGATGGGATTAGGGGGAAAAAAAACCATACAAAACAAAATTAAAAATCACACCTCGCTTCACATTGGAAATTGGACTCGGCCGCAGCGCTGTGTTCAGAGAAAACCTCTTTAAATGCAACCCATTGTGCAGGGAAATTCTCCCTGGAATCTGGGTTTCCAGACAGCTCCCCACGCTCCTGAAATCCCCTGGAAAACTGAGGAAAAAGCAACGTCCTGGCAGGTCTGGCTGTGGTATGTGAATTTTTTGGGACAAGTCTCTGCAAGAGCTGTGAGAGCTGCAGAGACAAAAGCCCTGGCAGAGGGTGGCACAGGCAATCCCCTCCCAGCTCCTCTCAAGTGGTGCCTGAGAAGGCAAAAACAGCAAAAACACCAACATGAATCTCTGGAGATTCATTTTGGTTTTTCCTCTCCCCCAAAAGACATGTGCAGCTTCCGAGTGGCAGGCAAAGGGAAGCCAGTGCTGCTTTTTTTTTTGGTGTTTCCCTCCTTTCTCTTCATTTCCGCGTCCCAGTAGCAAAAGGGGAAATTGAGGGGACAAACACAACTGAGTTTGCACTGAAGGGGAAGCAATAAAACCTTCCTATATGCAATAACAACCTCTGCCACTCCTAAATATCTCCCAACTGCCAGAAATAAAGACAGTGGAAAAGGTTGGGTTGGTTTTTTTTTTTGTGCTCACCCATGATAAAATGTAGTTTTCCTCCTCACAGATTTAGAATCAAGTAAAAATGGGAGTGAAAATAACAAAACTTCTGTACCTTCTGCTACTGAATGAGAAATTCTTCTTTAACCTTATCCAGCAAACTCCATGGGATCATTCAGGTCGAAAAAGACCTTTAAAATCATCCAATCCAATCACCAGCCAGCCTCTGAAATAATAAAAACCTTTCAAATATTCTTCTTCTTCTTTTCTTCTTTCTCATTTTCCTTGGGTTAATGGCATTTGTTGGGAAACAACTGCACATCAAGGGTGAAAAGGGAGATTTTATTCTGTGCCTGAAGTTTGTAGGACAGATTTAGGGGAAAAGGAGATTTTATGCTGTGCCTGCAGTTTGAAGCACAGATTTTGGGATCTGGGGACTCTGCCATGCAACGTGGGCACTGCAGGGTGACAAACAGGCACTGCCATCCTGTGGGAGAGTGTCCCTGCAGGTGTTTAGGAGGACACACCCCTGGAGGTCTGATTTCATGGAATCACGGAATATCCTGAGTGAGAAGGGACCCACAAAGGTCATCCAGAACATCTCCTGGCCCTTCCCTATCCCAAAAATCCCACCCTGTCCCTGAGAGCATTGTCCTGCAGCTCTGGCAGCCTCGGTGCCCATTCCCAGGGGGAGCTGCTCAGTGCCTGACACCCTCTGGGGGAAAAATCTTGTCCTAAAATTTAACAAAACCTCCCCTGACACAGCTCCAGTTGTTCCCCAGGTCCTGTCCCTGGTCACAGATTGGATTTGTGTCCTTGGCCTTTCGGGGCTTCACATCCCAATCCTTCAGAGGGAAAGCACAGTGAGGTGAACTCTCATTTCTCCTTGGAGAGAACAAGGGTGAGGCATTCCTAAAGGGAAAGGGGGCAGGAGAATGTGGGACTGAAAAAAAAAACCCCAAACTGAGTCATTTGGGGGTGTAAAACCTTCCCAAAACACCCTCCAACAGCAGGCTGTGCTTTCCACGCTGTCAGGCCGCAGTGCTGAGCTGGGGGAGCCCTTTGGAAAGGGGCTGTTCCTGTGTGAAAATCCAGTTGTGAGGGGCCGGGAGGCACAGCTGGACACAGCTGCACACAGCTGCGGGCTGGCACTGGAGCTGCACATTGCTGCAGTCAGCTCTGGCATGTGCACAGGAGGCCCCGCGAGGGGAAGTGCAGTTTGCTCCTGGGTGAGCCGGGCCACATCCACCTTCTGCCACAGCTCCTCGCTTCAGCCTCCTTCCTCCCCTTCCTTTCTGTACTTTTTTTTCTGGATTTCATGCAGAAAAATCCTCCCTTTTGACCCCTTTCTGCTGGCAAATGTCCAAGTGCTTCAAGCATCCGATGGGACTCTCAGTATCACCACAGGCTGGGGTGGATAAATCCTACAGCTCTCAGAAATTCAGAGGGGAAGAGCTCCTGCTCCCCCACCTTTTCATGCTTCCAAACCAGTTCCAAAAGGGGGACAAGCTGCTACTCCCCCAACTTTTCCATGCTTCCAAACCTTTCCCTACTCTGAAACCAGTCCCAAAAGGGGGAAAATGCTGCAACCCAAAACCTTGCTCCCCAAACATGTCCATGCTCTCAAACCTTTTCATGCTTCCAAACCAGTCCCAAAAGGGGGAAAATGCTGCTGCTCCCCAAACTTTTCCATGTTCTCAAACCTTTCCATGCTCCCCAACCTTTCCATGCTTCCAAACAGCCCCAGAAAGTGGAGAATGCTGCTGCTTTTCCAGCCTTCCCATACTCCCAAACCAGTCCCCAAATGCTGCATCTGTTCTGTCTTCCTAATCTTTGTGATATACGTAAACTCACAGATATAACAGTGCTTGGAAGGGTTTTTGTATTTATATGAGAGGTGAAGTCCCCAGCAGAGCAGGGAAATGAGGGTGAAGGCAGATTAGGATCTGGCCCGCCATGTGGAACAGCAATATTTGTGCAAAATATTCACTTTTTGTCCCTGAGAAAGCAGCAAACCCTCAGGAAGTGGCATCTTGTGGGCATTTACTTTTTTAGGAAGCATGCAAGATGCCCATTGGTCGTTTGCACAGGTGACAAACCCCCAAAAAATCAGCTTTCCTTCACTATGAGTGACCAGCTATCCATCACCAACATACCTGAGGCGTACCTGATGACCAAGAGGTCTTTAACAAGCACCCAACAAACCCTAATTTGCTCCAAAATGGCTCTGCTGGCCAACAAAGCCTCATTCAGCCACTTGCTAGGGGGGTAACGAGGGCTGAGCTAGAACAGAGGCTGGACGGAGTTACAGAATAAAGCAGGGATTTATTCAAAGGATCTGCTCCATGGATGCACCTTGGGCAGCACAAGAGCCCAGCCAGGGCTGCACCCAAGATGAACCCAAATGGCCCCAAAATGAACCCAAGATGAACCCAAATGGTCCCAAAATGCACGAGCGCTGCCGGGGTCTCTCCCTGGGCTCAGCTCTGCTCCATGTGCACATTGCAGTTCAGTGTCCAACCCCAGCTGCAGCCCCTGCAGTCCCATCCTGCTTGTTTTTCTCTCTCCAGCCCACGGGGTTTGTGCTCCTGGGCTGAGATTGGGATCATTTGTCCTTGGTGCCCAGCTGGAGCAGGAATTGTTTTGTCTCCCTGCTCTGTGCAGAGCTCACCATCCCCTGATGTGAACCCAGACCCACACACCAAAGCAGAACAGACCCTGAAAAATAGAAAAGCTCAAACCTGAGGCATCACAGTGAACAGTAAAAAACCAAAATAAATGTATTTGAGTGCTGGCTTCTGGCCAGATCTCGGAGTCAGTAAATGGGGAAGCAGTGTGGGCTGGCTAAAGGGGCTGTTTGAACTCTGCCCACTGACAAGGTGATGCTTCCGTGGAGATGCCGGTGGGGGAAACGAGGAGCAGGAACAGCAGCAGATCCAGGCAGAGCCCTGGCTCCCTGCTGAAGGCAGCACCAGAAGCTCAGAGGTAAAGGAAAGGAACTCACCAGGCTGACATTTGAAGGGTTAACGGGGTTTAAGCTTTGATCTCCCAAGAAAACACGCTGAAAACGTAGCCCAAGGCGTGCTCACCATTTTGTTTGCCTGTAAAACAATGCAATTTGATTTTTGTTGGCTTGTTGTTTTTAAGTGGAACCTCATGGGTGTTCTGTTGAATTCAGCCCACAAAAGCAATTTGTGTCATTTTAATGCAGCTCCTGTGCTAGAAATGTTTGTTTTTAAATGCAAGTTTTATTGTTTTCATTGTTGGCACATTAAAAGCTCGATCAATAAGAAAAGCAATTTGTGATGTCGCCCTTCTAAATTCCAGCCTTATCTACCCCATAAATTGGGGCAAATTTGAAAGTGAGGCATAACACGAGCTCATTCTTTTGGGATATGAAAAGAATAATTCCAGATCTTCTCTGCTTTGACCCGTCCCTATCCATCATCTGTCTTAATATTTCCAGGAGAGTCAGGCTGAGGCACAGCTCTGGGACAGAGGATGGAGCAGAGCATTCTTTGATTTGTCACTGTGGTAGTAATATTTTAGTGCAGGCATCATTTTTAAAATGGAAGAGAAACCTTCTTTCTGCAGGAAACATCCAAATCTTGACCAGATATGAAGTGTTTGGGCACAGATTAAAAAATTCTCCCCAAAATGGGGACAACTCCCACAAAAAGGGGCAGAACCCAAAGCCTGCCCTCAGCTCTGTCTCCTGATCTGCTACTGGCTTTCCATTTAGCCTTGCACAATTCCTTCTACCTCTCAGGGCCTCCTTTTCCCACCTTTACCCAGGGGACAGCACTACAATGGGTTTCTTGCTCTTTGATATTTGAAACATGCTCAGAGATTCCTCAGATGGGGGCGGGAGAAAGAAATCATTATTGTTATATTTTTATAGCCCGTTTCTCCCTGCAGGGTCCCGGAGGTATTTTAAAGTCTCCATAGTCTTGGGCAAGAAGAAGCAAAGAACAATCAGAGTAAATTTGCGGGAACAGGAGCAGGACATGGATGATCCTTGTGGATCCCTCCCAGCTCAGGATATTCTGTGATTCTCTGGCTGATCACTGGATGTGGAGCTGCCACTTTCATTTCCCCCCAAACATCCCCTTCTGATCTCATTTTCCCTTAAAGAGGTTGCCATTACAAGCAGGAACAGGGATAGTGTCAGGTATGACTCTGCACGCCTTCACACCTCATGAAATCCCATCCAGAATGGTAAAATTAATGAGGAAAACTGCCTACTGCAGCAATTTCTGAAATAGCTGTAAATGTTTTATTGCCCAAACATATGCAACAGCAACTTTAGCAAACATGCTCCAGCGAGTGTGGTGGAGAAAGGCCACAACAGGATTTTTGGAGAAGCAGACAGCCACGGCCAGACTCTATTTCTAAATAAATTGGCATTAATCAGCTGATGACTGCACAGCTTCCTGTAGCAAACCACGCTCAGCAAAGACATTCCTGCTGTATCTCCTCAGTTTCCTGATAACGCCACCAGATTGGCATTTGTCAAAACAATAAATGAGCTGAAAATGTGCCACAGGGGCTGCTTGGTGCCTCAAAATCCAACTGGGTTTGGGTTGGCACCCCAGTAAAGTCTTCAGGGAAATGGACACTTGCTCAGAGGTCACACCAGCAGTGGGATTATTTCATTGGGTCAAAGATGCTTCTGCTTGAGGAATGAAAGAGAAGTGACTGCCTGGTAAATGTGGGGGGTCTGGACCAGCCCACAGCAGGAGGGGCTCCATCCCAGCCCCATGGCTGCAAAGGCAGGGCCATTTGTCCACCCTGTCTGCCCAGGGCCACTCCACCCAGGCAGGGAAGGACACCCTTCAAATGTTCCCAAAATGTCCCAAATCATCCCCAAACTCACAGCTGGTTACTGTCCCAAGGAGCCACAGGGAAGGACACTGAAGAGCCACGGGAAGGACTTGAAGGTCAGGCAAGAGCCCCAAACCAGCCTGGTGGCCTTGGTGGCCATCACCTCCCACGTGCTGCCAGCCCACGAGGGCCCCACAGCAGCGACAAAGTGCCAGGGTGGATTTGAAAAGCCCTCGAGAGTCACTCACTGGGGGAGCAGAGGGGAAAAAACAGGGCTGAAGTGACCCCTCTACACCTTGTAAATAAGATTTGTGTCCCAGGGGTGCAGAGCACCAGGAGCTCCCCGTTTACCCAGCCCAGGGTGCTCACAGGTTTGGCATCTTGCAAGCTCAGCTCAGAGCTGCAGAACTTATTCCTTAGAGCAGCAAGTAGCTGGGGATAACTCATCTGTATGCTGGAAGTGGCTCCCAGAAAACATTTGCTAAATAATTTAGGAACAAAACCCAGAGATGATAATAAAAAAAACCCCAAGAAGTTTGCTCCCAGATGATCAGCAAATACAAAACAGCAATAAGTCTGTCAAATGAACTCACCTAGTGCTACTCTCATATTCCCTACCATCCTCCCAATCCTGATTCTCCTCTGATTCAGCAGCTTTCCTCCTTTTGGCATTTCTGGCTGGCAGGGCTGGATGTACTTGGTTAGAATTCAATACCACGAGGGGGTTTAGTAACTGAAAGCTGCCTTTTTTCTTTTTTTTTTTTCCCTTTCTTCCCTTGTTTCCCTCCTCCCTTCAGCAGCTCACAGGAGGTAAACAAAAGTTTAGAAGGGTGCCCTGCACGATTAAGGTCTGTCAAGTATAAACTGCTTCAGCCCTCCTCAGGTTCCACCAGTAAAAGTCAAAAGCTCCTTTTACATTCTCCAATTAAATTAAAAGAGGAAAAATGAAACTGCTGTTTGAAATCTCTGGGTCAGCTGAAAAATATGAGAGCAGAGCCCTTGCCAGGGTGCTGCAACATCCAGTAGGAGCCTGCCCCAGGTGCTGTGCACAAGCACATTGCCTGAGACAGGTCTGGACTCTCATGGTAATCTCTAAATGAAGTAAAGAAAGGAAGAAGAGAATGAGACCAAGAAAGGAGCACCAAGCTGGAATTCACTTGCTGGCCCTCCTCCAAGCCAAGGCTCGTTCTGTGTGTTACTTTGGAGATCAATGTCACACAGGGGCCTCCAGCCAGACCCTGCTCTCCTTGGAGGGACAGCCACGGCCATGGTCCCCTCTGGAACCATCCCTCCTCCAACATCATCCTCAAACGCAGTTTTCAGGATCACTGCAAAGAGGGGAGAGAAATATTAACAGCGAGGAGACAGATGGTGCCATAATAAAATCCCCTCTCTCTCTCTCTTCTTACTTTTCTCTGTTGCTTTTGCTTTTCAGGACAGCTCCCCCAAAAGCAGATCGTGCTTGCACTCCACATGTTCATTTTGAGCCTGCTAGATGATCCAAAGGAAGGGCTGAAAACCTTTCAGAGCTGATGGCACTAATCTGATGACCTGACGAAGCTCAAATCAAGAACCAGTTACTAGGAAATAAAGACAAACCATGGCTGCACTCCAAAAGAACTCATAAATCTGAACATCTCCTGCTTGCTCTCCTGTAACAGCTCTAATATTTCTTCTGCTTTTACCTTGTGAAGGCTGTTCATTATTGCTTTCACCTCTTAGCCTCTCTCAGGATGTCAGCTCCATCTGCCACCACATACCTGGAGTGAATCTCAGCAAGCCCAGCTCAGGTGCTCTCTTCTCCCTCCTGCTGAATTCTCATACTTGACACGACCCTTCAGAATGCACAGAATACTTTTTTTTTCAATCAGCGTGCTGCAGTCTCCTCACCTCTTGACTTTTTTTCCCCCTCTGCCTCTCCATCCCCAATCACTGTCTGCTCGCCCTCCATTTCATTCTTACCTCGGAATTACTGACAGTGACACAGAGGATGATGATGCCTCATTTTGCTTAGTAATGGTTTTGCTGAACATCTCAGCCTCCACTTCAGCTGGCACATTAGCAACCAGAGAACAAACTCTAATTGTTTTGACACTTTAGCACTTGCCAACGCTGAGCACAGGTAGGGCTGAAGCTGCAGCACTCAGCTCTGCTTCGAGGAGCAGAGAATTCCAGCCTTTGTTGACTCGTGCTTGGCTTCTCCCGTACAAATGTTTTCTGAACTCCTTTCATCTTTCCCTCGCTGCTGCTGAGCATGTCATTTTCCATTCCCTGTTATTCAACAGCCTTTATATTCACACGCAGCCCAATTTTCTGCCAATATCATCTTTTCATTTATGTCAACTGGATTACATGTTGCTCCTACCTGCCTCCGAGTTACCGCTCATTTTCTGTGTCAGGTGAACTTATCTCACAGCACACAGAGCGGGTTTTATTCCACAATTGCATTCCTTTATGCCTTCAAATTGCTTGCCACAGAGCAGGCTGTAATTCTCCTCTGGTGTAAAGCTCATCAAGACAAAATAGAAAGATGGGAGCTGGCACTGAGGGTTCTGGTCAGCCGCTCCTCCAGCACGAGCCTTTCTCCAGGAATTAGAGGAGCAGACATCGCTGAGGAGGATTCTAACACTTGTGGGATGAATAACCTGTCAGTAGGTGAGGCTTTCTCTCTTGTCACATTAATTAGCAGTCATCTCCTTCCTTTAAACATAATCCTTCCAAGACTCCCAGCCTTATTTATTTTTTTTTCCTTGCAGTTGGGTGTTCTCCCTCCAGGCTCGGGGCTGGCGTCAGTAGATGGCACTGTGACATTCACTCTTCCAGCTTCCTTTTTGTTCAGCCCACGAGCAGAGCTTTGAGTTTTTACTAAATTTTTGTGTGTGTGTGTGTATTATAATTAGTTTTTGTTTATGCAAGGTTCTGGAGTCCTTCGGGAGCAAACTGTGGAAGCAGGGAGATAATTTGCTTTTCTGCCTTCGCCCCGCTCTCTGATTGAGGTCAGTTCTTGAGCCAGAAGCAGTCTCTGGGTACCAGTCACTGAGGTGATGCTGAGATTCCTACAAGGAGGGATTATCCTGCAGATTATTCCAGCACTCTCGCTCCAAGGCTGGCACACCAGACTAGCCAGGGCAATTAAAGTGGGTGTGCAGGGGCAGTGCCCTCCAGCAGCTCAACCCCCTGTGCCCAGCTCTTTTTGCCTCCTGGCAGCAGATCCGTGGTGCTGTCCTTGGGAGAGGACTCTGTGCTCCAAAGAATGGCACACACAAGTGGAAACCCGTCCTTTGGTTGAATTCCTAATGTTGGGAACCCAAGCTACAATCCAGGACTCATTAGCAATCCCTGAAATCCAAAATCTGCTTATTGGCAGAGATCTTGACTGGGGTTAGCTCAACACATCCAAAACCTGTGGAATGTCAAGACAAAAAGGACTCAAAAAAGAATAAAATTCAGTGCCAAAATATGAAATGAAAAGCCTCCCAACTGGCTTAGTCTACACCATCAGTGTCAGATGCGTCAAGGTATTTGCTTTCTCTTTGGAGAGAGAAAATAACAAACATTGTTATGTTTTATCCATGCTTAACTTAAGATTCTTGATCTGATGATACCTGGAAACCTCAGTGAAGGCACAAAGCCCTGTTGAGCTAAGTGCTTTTCAAATAGGAGATAATAAATGGATTTAGATGAAGATGCTATCAACTGATTTCACAAAAATCCTTCTCTTAAAAAAAAAAAAAAAAGCTGAATATTTACCAAGTTTTTTACTAAGGCACCTTTAAAATTTTCTTGCATTTCCCCCTCTGTTTTAAACAGCAAGTTCACCCCTCCCTTTTAAATTCTGGTAATGATTTAGCAATGAGCAACATTTCATAGATGCAAAAAGACAGCAGCAAATGAGGGATAGGAGAATGATAAAAAATTTACCACAAAAAAGAGAAGTGTTAGCATAAACATCTCTTGTAAATATAAACATGTGCCCATGGATTCAGTCACACACATGCACAGAGTGCATCTCAGTGTACAAAATGTCCTTTTGACCTCCTAGGATGAAGTGTCCTTAGCAAGAATTACAATTATCATCAAAGGTTGATTAGCAAGTGTCAGATTGACAAGGAGTCATCAGCAAATATAAATATAGGTCCTGGAAGGAATAGAAAGCCTTTGTGGGAGCTGATAGCGTCTTCCAGCACTGAACCTTGATGTTCTACTTCTCCATGACTTTATTTTTACTCCAAGGATGTCAGAGGGAGGAGAACAGCTCAGTGGGCTTTAATATCTCCTGTAAAACATATTCCTCAGAGTGTGACTGACCAGTTGTAACACCCCTGAGACAAGGGCAAGTCAGGAAAAAAGTTGTGAGTTACTTCAGGGAGGATTTTTGACATCAGAGACCCCCGAAATGTAGCAGGGGAATTATTTTCCTTTAATATGCTTACAGCTAAAGGATTGGCTTCCATTCAACAAATAGAAGTGTTAGTGCTTCGAGCCTGCATGCCTGGCATTCCTGCAGTAATACAATTCTGTATTAAAATCTATTCCAGTTGCTTGATTTATGAAAATGGTTCAAACGTGCTGCACTCGTACCCAGCTCATTGGATCAAAAGAGAGGAAAAATAAAAAATAAAAGAGAATTAATTTTCATACAGAAAGAAAAGGCAAGAGAGAGAGAGAGAACATGCTGTTGTCCCTGTCTCAGAAGTGGAGCTTTAGTCCTTATAAAAGTTGCCTGTATCCAAAATGTGACAATTTTATTTCAGAAGGTGACGACGTTTTAAGAATTTGTTGCAACTTGTGGACAAAGCCGCGGTTGATTCGCTCTCCAGCATTCCCTGGATTTTGTAATATGTCAATACATCATGTTAATGCAAGTTTTTAAAAAGGGGGAAGAGAAAGCAAAAGCTCCCTTCCTTTTTAAGTATGAGTAATCTATCCAAATCCTACTGAGACACACAAAGGAACGCCGGCAATTTTCCCTTTCATAAAATGCGGACTTTCTTTAAATACTTCCTCCCTACATTTTCAAAGCGGGGCTGTATGAAATGAAGGGGAAATGACACCCTTCCCCATTGAAAAGGAGATTATGTAAAACTGCCTGGAGAAGCCAGCCGTGTTAATGCAAATACAAGTATGATCTTATTCATAAGTTGCCATTGTGCTGGCAGAACATGCCTTAGCTCTATGTGTCCACCTCCAGCTCTGGGTGAAGAGGAAAACCCTTTTCTTTCAGGATCTGCACTGCCCCTGGTTTGCAAATAAATATGAAACCCCAAAGATCACTTTAAAGAAGTGGAGGGCTCGGTTTGCCATTGTGCTGAGCACTCGATGCCACTTGAAGTTAATGAGAGCAGTCAGCAGCCCTGACAATGAGGCACGGCCAGGATTTTGTGTGCCCAAAGGTGCTGGGGACACTCAGGGCTCCTTCCCTGCTCCTGTGCTGGCAGCCACAGCCCTGAGTGGGGACAGTCTGGCCCTAGGAAGGGTTTGGAAAAGTCAAACCCACTGATGGCATTGGGCAAAGCTCTGAGTGGGGATATCCTGGCTCTAGGAAGGGTTTGGAAAGGTCAAACCCACTGATGGCATTGGGCAAAGCTCTGAGTGGGGATATCCTGGTCCTAGGAATGGTTTGGAAAAGTCAAACCCACTGATGGCATTGGGCAAAGCACTGAATGGGGATATCCTGGCTCTAGGAATGGTTTGGAAAAGTCAAACCCACCAATGGCATTGACACAGCACTGAGTGGGGATATCCTGGCTCTAGGAAGGGTTTGAGAGAGTCAAACCTACTGATGGCATTGACACAACCCTGACTGGGGACAGCCTGGTCCTAGGAAGGGTTTGGAAAACTCAAACCCACTGATGGCATTGGACAAAGCACTGAGTGGGGACAGCCTGGTGCTAGGAAGGTTTTGGAAAAGTCAAATCTGCTGAGTGCATTGGGCAAAGCTCTGAGTGAGGATATCCTGGCTATAGGAAGGGTTTGATAGAGTCAAAGCCACAGATGGCATTGACACAGCCCTGACTGGGGACAGCCTGGTCCTAGGAAGGGTTTGGAAAAGTCAAACCCACTGATTGCTTTGGGCAAAGCTCTGAGTGGGGATATCCTGGCTCTAGGAAGGGTTTGATAGAGTCAAAGCCACAGATGGCATTGACACAGCCCCTCCTTCTGCAGCTGGAGAAGTGCAGGTGATTCCCAGCCTCTCCCAACACCCTCAGGACGCCCTGCATCGGTGCCTTATTAAAAATATTCAAATCATGGACTCATTAATGCTGGACAAACCTCTGAGATCACAAACCCAGCCTTAATTCATATCCTAGGCCAG